CAAAAGACTTTGCAGAAATATCCATCCCTTTCCTGTCGAGCGAAGAGCTTTCTTTAGGAGAAAAGAAAGATTACATTTCTAGCTATCTTCAGGTTTGTAGTTGATATTTTCATTCAATGGTGCTTGGACTCTGAACTACCTCCTATATTATGTTCGGATGTTAGAAATTGGAGCAAGACGAAAAGACTTCCAAAGGATTATCTGACGGATTCATTGAGCTTCAAGAAAGCGTCATCTCATTCAAAATTGAATGGAAAAGGATCATCGAGAAGTATGACCAGAATAATATTGCCATTGAGATCAGGTCACTCGACAATCAAATCCAAGACATTGACCGGAACATTTCTGAGTATGTCTCAAGTTTTTTTGTGTCATAACGTGCTGCTCACAAAAATGTATCAGGTTGGATAGTAAGGTGATCAGATATGTCTACAGCGGATGAATTTAATCTAACAAAAGCTTTGTCTCTGTATAGATCGACGAATTGGGCCGACGTAGGAACGGGTTTTGGGGTGCAGTTCGCGGTTTCTTTTCGTGGCTGTTACGACCTATCATGAACGTATGCATATATTTCAAACTAGTCCTCCATACTGGGTGATTGACTAATTTCAGCGAGACTCTGAGCGAGATCAAGCCATTCAGAACCGCACTGGTGAGTTTGGTTATATTTATATTTTCACCATCGTGACTGACGAGTTTTATGGCTTTATTCATGAACCAGAAAAAATAAACCTTCGTGACATCAAGCGTCGCGAACGCGATGTCAAGACAAAGCTCTTGAAGGATGTACAGCAACTTGATGTAGCCTTTACTTCAGTCGATTCAAACTTCTCCGAAGTGTGTTCTAGGTTGGGATCCTTCGCGAATATATGGGCAGCAGTAAGCATTTGTGTTCCATGAACCGTTACCAATGGGGTACAGCGCGGAAGGTGACATTATATTAATTTTGGTGTCAGATTGGTCGTGATATTCTTCAAATCGAGGAGAAACTTGGTTGGGCAAATTCGACAGGGCATCAGAAAGTAGGCCCGTTCGGCCCTTGTATGTATGGCAGCTACTAACACCCAATGGCGTCTTTTCTCGTCTCAGCTTTTCCAGAGTCGATTAAGAACTACGGCTACTATCTACGAAGCTCTTGGTTTTTCGATGGCTCACTTCCAAGCTGTGGTGAGTGATCCTCTATTTATACGCTCACCCAAGTTTGAATTGATGGATTTTGTGTAGATGCTCAGCGAGATCTTTTCATCCAGCTGGTTATTTGACTTCAAAGCGCAGGTCGCTCAGATAGAAAGATACCAGAAGATGGAGGAAGATATTCAGAGGAGAATCAACGAGTTCAGCATCAGCCAGGTCGTATTGGAGGAAGAGGATGAGGGGAATTTGTATTTGGCGATAATTTACAGCGTTGCGAACTCTTTAGATAAATGTGACATGTAACATTTGTGATTTTTGTGACATTTTGTGACTTATGCAGCGGTCCCTTTGATTCAGGCGCCCAACTACTTTCCTCACTCCTCCATCATCTTGAACTCTCTGATTCATACTCAGCTGATATGTCTTATTTCTTGCCTCATCTTCCCTCTGGCTGGCACGTCGATGAAGCTATTAAATCTGAAGAAGACCGAGTGGTCGTTATTCGATTTGGCCATGATTGGGATTCACAGTGCATGACTATGGACGAAACCCTCTATGGCGTTGCTGAGAAGGTTCAAAACTTTGCAGTTATCTATCTAGTCGACATCACAGAGGTACCAGACTTCAATAAGGTGCGTGGTACAAATATGATACTCGAATTTCTATAGTCTGATGATATAATGGACTAGATGTATGAGTTGTATGATCCCTGCACGGTGATGTTCTTCTATCGGTATGTAGCTTCCCATTCATTAGAAGATTTCAGTCAATTTCATACCAATTGCTCTTCAGTAATAAACATATCATGATTGATCTGGGTACTGGTAATAACAATAAAATGTACGCCTTGTTTCATTCTCTGCTTAACGCTGGCGCTAAATTTTCTTTATCATAGAAATTGGGCGATGGATAATAAGCAAGAGGTACGTTTTCATGTTCAATCATCTTCATTGTATCTTTATATAATTTATCCTTAGCTTATTGACATTATTGAAACTGTTTACCGTGGCGCATCGAAGGGCCGTGGTCTGGTCGTTTCACCGAAAGGTGAGTGGACCGTGCTCGAGTATTCTCCACTCCTCAACTGACATTTTGAGTAGATTATTCCACCAGATACAGGTATTGATTATTCGCGAATATACTATACCCTCTTGCGCTTCTCTTTTTCTCCGACTTTATTCATCAATGTTCAGAATATATTTTGGAACGCAATATGATACCGCATTTCCCACTGTAAACTCCCCCTTTGCCCACTTTGGACCGCAAGGATTAACCTTCATGGACCGGTATATCAGATATGCAAATCAGGTAGGATTAAGTGGCACGACAACTCTTCTGACACGACTCCTAGCTTTGTCGTCATGGACCACTCAGTCTGATGCACTGCAGATGAAGATTCATTCTCTACCACAGAAAATTTCTATTACTATTCAAGTCATCAATCTACTGCCCTCTATATCAAACATATAAGAGTCGGTGCGAAGATGGGGGATATCTTACTCCTAGAAATTGACCAAGTCTGCTGATCTGCTTACAGATTCTATTGGTGGTGGGCACCAACGACCATCTTCGTCTTCTTCTTCCTTCGTGGTTTTGGTACCTTGTAATCGTATGATTTGAGAAGCAAGTTGTTCAATCTGCTTCAACAGTACTGACTCTGCGGAAATGTCAGGAGTAGCTGTTGTCTTGTTCGTCTTCCTCAGGGAGCTATCATGCGCAAGTCGTAACAAGAAAGAGATGAAGCTAAAAACGAATATTCAGCTGGTATTTTCCATTTGGATTCTGTGAAACACACTCACAGCTCTTTCAAGAAAGCGAACGACCATCCGTCAGTTTTCTCAGCTACGTCTTGTGCCACTTCATCTAAGCTTCTCCTTAAAATGACCCCTTCTCCGTTTGCAGCTCTGCCACCGAGTGCTTGAACTTTACGTATCCACTTTGTAGCAAACGCTTTCCTCAGCTCCAAGTCGGGTAAACTGAAGTCATATTTCACATCGAAACGTGACGGACGGTTCAATATCGCATCGTCGATCCGCTCTGGATGGTTTGTAGTAGCGATGGTCAATATACCATCATTTTGTGCCTGCAGAAGATATGTTTATTGAGAAATCGACCATAGAAACAATTCCGTTGAGTTCCGCATACCAAACCATCTAGTTCATTCAAGAAGAAACTTCGAACTTTCTCCGTGACCATTGCATCGAGATCTTCCAATACAAGAATACAAGGTGAATGTTTTCTTGCACGGTCAAAAATGGTTCGCACTCCATGTTCCGGTCCCTAGTCAAATGCACATCGATTCAGTACGATGGAGAGCAACGAAGAAAATGAAAACGCACAAAGTTGGTCGTGAACGATTTCACGTAAAGTGCAGGATACTCGAGCTCGTTAAGTAATGCCTTGATGGATTCAGTCTTTCCGTTTCCTGGTGGACCTAAGAGCAAAATACCACGTTTCCAAGTGATACCCAAGGAGTTATAAACCTCTTTGCTGGCGAAGAAAGTTTCAGCGTCCCTCTTTAACCCCTCTTTGAACTCATCCTTCAAGACAACATCATCCCAACTCGCGGTCTTGACAGCTTGGTAAAGCATCTTGTTCTTGCTCCACCAACCACCTTCAAATACCCATATCTCCTCCTTTAGATTATTACCCCATCTGTACACCTCCGATGCTAGTTCTCGACCAACTCTGTCATCCGACCCTTCGAAGACTAATCCATAGAAATAAAATGAGTTTTTCGTAGTACTCCAAGTAGCCTTGTAAGCGTAGAAATTGACAGAGTTGTATGAGAATTTGACGATGCCTGCAACGACATCAGGGTAAACTTTCTGCTGAGACTTGGAATTGTCGAAATTAAAAGATACGTGTGTTTGTTCGTTGACGACTTCAGGGTGATTCTGACGAGAAGCTAGGAATTCGGAAAGTGGGAAGGCGGTATCGTTATTGACAGTTGTAGAGACGAGTTGGAATTGGGGCCCTGAATGCAACTGTTTGAGATGTTTTATAAGGTTGAGTTCAGGGTTGGAAATGGGTGCAGAAAATTCGGAATTTAGCACATCGGAGAAATTATGAAAGGAGGACATCTTGACTTCGAGGGGAGAAGAGGACTATCGATTCACGCCGGATTTCCTTCCTACTTATACATCTTGGGATTTGGCAGTGCAAACTTTAGAAGATAGAGATCGCAGTCTGAATCAAATAAAAGTCAGTGCACCTCATGTTAGAACGGTGTCACAGTAGCCAACCACTCACGAATTCCCGAAGTGACTCGGAGTAATTATGCGTGCTGGATGTTACAGTATGTGGACAGTAGGAATCTAGCAGTCAAATTTATCAGTGGCCGTATCTGAAACGCTGTGTATCGTAGTGTCCACATATTGTCGGAGGAGTTGGTTCTAGCTTCGCTCGCCATGATTGAGACGGATTTATCTGCCTTAAGGCTAGTAAACTCCCGTGGGTGAGAAAGATGAGGCTCATGTGCCAAGGGTCCGTGTGAGAGCGGTGGCCTCAACACTGCAAAGGCCATCTTCAACCTGGTTACGAAATTACTCGATATTAGGATTCCTTATCTCCAGATCCAAGTTACACAGCGTTCGAAAGGTGTAGTAGTACGTCAAGTACAGCATACTGCCTACCAAGAGGTTGAGCGCGACAATCAGTGTATATGTCAGGTAGTGAGTCAGGTGTGGTACACGTACAATGTGTGATCCGACGGTGGGCCCATTGGGTGATGTTGACGTCGTTCATATGTAGTCACCTGTATCAATTATCTGTTGACATCAAGGAGAAGAAAAGTGAGACTTACATGGGTGAAAAACGCTGGAGATTGATCGAAGTTGAAGGCAACAAGGAAAAAAAACAAACTCTGGTGGCGGCGAGGTTCGAACTCGCGCGGACTCACGTCCATTGGGAAACAGCTAACCTGAAGCTTAAATCCAACGCCTTAGACCACTCGGCCACGCCACCTTACATTCCGTTGAAATGTCATGAACTATCAGGCTAATTACAGCCGAAATGTTGAAACAAATTGGAGAAAGACTACGATTAAAACATTCTATAAGCTAACAGAGGCGGAAAAAAAGTCCTATCAAAGCTAAGAAAGCAGCAGATAAATTGGCGCTACTCGCAACTCCTGCACTGGTATTCGTACTCGATTGGCCGTTTCCAGTAGAACCCGAACCCGAACTAGTTGATGTAGAATTCTGAGAAGGAGGGGATGTGATTGAAGGAGAAGCTTCAAGAGTTTGCGTAACACCCGATGGGAGTGCCGTTACACTACTGTCGACACCACTGATGGTGAGCGAAGATACAGCTTTACCGAGACTCTTACAAGCATCTTCATATTCTACAAGTGAAAAGTGAGAAAGGAATGGATATAATTGAGAAAGGAATACACTGACGTATCAATGCGAATTGTATTGCGTCTGCTGTTTGTGGATCTGGAGATGAACCATCCGAAGAGAGGACACAATTCATGCAAGTGACCATTCCTTGATTGATCGTGTCCGTGCATAGACATGCAGCGTCGCTGCAATTCTAGATTCGAAAGGGAAAGATAACAGGATGTTTGTGATGATATGTATAGACAGAATATAACCAAAACCTCACATTCAGACTGGAACATTGCGACTGACACTGAGAAAAACCGTATGTTAGCATATATCACTAGAGTTTGAAAAATATTATACCTGAGAAGGAACTTGATCAGGACTTATAATTGCAGTCTGTCTCTTCGCGAGCGTAACCGAATGAGGATCATCGAAGGCCAACGCTAAATTCATGATCAACCAGAAATCCTCAGTACCGAGAAGAATTGTGTTTTAGTTTGAGATGGGAGCCTACCTTGAGCTATGAACCAACCAACGACGACATGCAAAGTGGTTAGAGCCAAGAGTTGCATGGTACAGTACTATTTGTGCCAAGTGGGCTCCGTTCAAGTTGCCAAACAGTTGAAATGTTGAAGTCGAGGATGGGCAATCGAGCCCGCGTCCAGATCTAGTCGGTCTTTTCAAAAATATCAACCAATCAAGTTTCGATTGTAAAGGAGGACAAGTTCGCGAAGTCTACACATACCAGGAAGAATAGAATACCGCGACACTTATTTATTTTGCAACTTTACCACCGTTCGCGGGAGGAGGAAGGAGGAACAAAGTCACGGTTGCCATCACGCTGCCGCACGGTGACTGTTAACATTGTCACGAGCGACACGTGACAGTAGACGTGAAGCGACGCCTAAAATTCAACTCGGTTCTATGTATACAGCTTCGGACCTTCAGAATCCAGCTACATTAGAAAGCCACGTTTCACACTGATAACATGAGGAAGAGCCAAGAGGGGCGTATATGAAATGATTGTCCATACAGATGGCAATACACTGTTCAAACAAAGTCCAAAGAGTTCTAAGAAAACAAAAATGTCCAAGAATATCCCTTTTGTAGAAGCCGTAAAGTAAAATTCATCGAAAGTCCTTAAACCATGAACATCCCAAAAACCGCAAAAAATCCTGCAGCTGCAACACCAACGAGACCACTTGAACTACCAAATGACGCGAGGGAAGCTGCACCGTTGGTAGTAGATTGCGTTGACGTGGAAGCAGGACTGCTAGTTGCGGATCGTGAGGTCGTACTAATGGTAGTACGAGAAGATGTAGCGGGAGTTGTCGATGTCGTGAGAGGTGTACTGGTGGTCGAAACAGTGACGCTTGCCGGAACACTAGATGTAGCATCCGAAGCAGTCTCCGTCGAACTGTCTGTTGCACTATCTGTGCTCAGGCTGTCGGTAGCTGTTCCTGTTGCAGAAACACTTGCACTGTCAGTGGCGGTGGGTCCAGCTCCAACAGAAAGAGATGAGACGGGAGTTTCTGCAGTTTGGCAGGTGGAGAGATAACCTGATGATAGAAGTTGGTCAGACTTTAAACAGAACTGCGGAAACTGGTTTTTACCGGAATAGGTGTCTGCAGCAGTGGATGGATCACTTGATGCAGTAGCAGCGCACGATAAACAAGATGCAAGGGCAGAATTGACATCAGCAGTGCAGAGACAAGAAGCATCAGAGCAACTCTAAACACGAACACGAACGGCCATGAGTACGCATGACGATGGGACCAGATAATGCATTGCTCACATTCAGGGTGGTTTCAATTGAACTGCACGTGTCTTGACACTATCGCATGCCAGTGATCAACATTGCACGGTTGGCTGTACTATGATGATCATGTACTCACTTCTGCAGGAATTGTACTGGGATCAATGGGAACATTTTGCCTCGTTACCAAGTGAAGATCGCGAGAGGAGAGTACAGCTGCAGAAGCTGTGAGATACATCAATCATGCATCAGAGAAGTACTAAAATGTCCGAATCAAGAGACAACATACCAGAAGCAGAGAACGAAGCAAGAAGTGCGATGCTTGCGAGTGTGGTCTTCATTTTATTTGAACAAATGAACAGACTTGAGAGAGAGGGAGGGAGGGAGAAAGGAATTATCGTTCTCAAAAAGAAGGAGAGAGGACGAGAAAGTCCTCGACGTTTCTTCGAGGTTGCTTTTATACCCGATGATAGATATTTGGGGTAGGCAACCGAGCGGCCATGCAAACCCCGCAAGGTGTGCGGATGATCGTTACGCAGTCTCCTCACCGCCTTCATTCATACCTTGGCAGAAACAGTGTCGGAAAATCGCAAAATGGAACTTCCATACAGGGGTCCCGACCTTTCAGAAAGGTAAAATTATGAGCGCGTAGCCTGTTGAAATAGGACAAGTTCAGCTGAGGTTCGGTGAATCTAGCCCTGTTTGCTGAAGTTGCCAATTCAGATGCCAATTGCAAACCGAAGGGCTACAGAACATCGTGTTACGCTAATGGACAGATCCATTTCAGTTGAGCTGCAAGCTCTTCGGCTACTTGGATTTTATTCGCGAAAAGGCTCAACTGGGCCTCGACGAAAAATAGTGGGCGGTCAGGCATTGCCGGTGCTCAGCTCAGAAGGCTACTACAACGTTGCTTTCAATTCGGATCTGGAGGTAATATTGTTGTAATTTCTTCATGAGTATTACATTGTCATTACAAAGATCGTTGACTCTCCAGACTCACCTTATTTCAAAGATCTGATTGGTGTGCGTTATAATATCGAGGAGAGAGGGAGGTCGAATATATCGCAAATATATCAAGCCTGGAGGAGTTACGAGTCTCGGCCTAAGCAACGCGATGTGAAATATTCATGCCACGAGGCTCGCGAACATCATTTGATGGGTGTATGGCTACATTTGGAAAAACAAGTTGAAGTCCACAGTTCTCTCTATTGGGGATACTGTAACTGCACTGCAGTACTTGGTGGATAGCAAAGCAGGTTGAGATATTCCATCTCACAGATATTATAGTACTTCACAAATAGATGTAGTCAACCAGCTGAATTATCATTCCACGAACAGCGACCGAATCACAGACTCAGACACTGTAACAATATTGATATTTCCTATATCCAAGTGATCTCCCGCGTTACAAACATTGGGAGTAGTAGTCGTTAAGCTTCGTACAAGTGAAACCAGAGGCGCAAACTGAAAGGAACAGTCAGTGAGTAGATTACGATGTGGATGTCAAATTTCTTCATACCTGTAGAACCAGTCCAACCAATACCACCACATTGACCCCAGTGAGCGACAGGAGTTCCAGAGGGAAGGGGGACAGTGGTAGGGGGAACAGTGGTAGGTGGGACAGTAGTCGGTGGAACACTGGTTGGAGGAACGCTGGTTGGAGGGACTGTCGTTGGTTGTGGTCCTGGTGCTAAGTTACTAAGACCGAACCAGGTAAGTACGTCGTTCGCTTGCTCAGGAACGGTATGTCCAACACCCTGAGCGAGGATAGCTTGAACATTGGGTCCGAACGAAGCGCGAGAATAGCCACGAAGAGGATCGTTAGTAGTGTTGGAGGTGGGGGTTTGAGAAACACCAAAGACATTTGTCCATTGTTTGATGTCTTCCCAGAAGTTTTGAGGGTAAAGTGTTGTGTCACTAGAAACAAACAGATTGGCGTCAATCTTGCGGGAATGGACGAGCAATACTCACGCTGTTCCATGCCAAAATTGGAATTTTGGATGAGTTCCTGTAAAGCCAGGGTATCCACTACGGACTTGATCACCCTAGAATTCGCCGTTATGAGAAGGATGTTTGATGATTAATGCGACGGAAACTTACCCATTGTTGAGGTGTCTTGATGAGTTGACCCTGGGCACACTGACTGTTCCACATGTCAGGTCCAGCGAAACAACCGTAAGGGACGCCGGAGAATGCAGATCCCGCTGCGAACAAGTCAGGGTAGGCACCCATCAGGACATTGGTCATCATGGCACCAGAAGATGTGCCAGTAGCGAAAACACGACTAGCGTCAACCCCCCAGTTCTGGATAGCGTAACGAACAATGGAAGCGATGGCAAGAGAGTCTCCTCCCCCATCGTGAGTGAGTGTGCCAGTGGTGTGAACATCCCAGCATCCTCCGGAGTCAGGAGCATCAGGATAAACCACAATAAAACCGTGAGTGTCAGCGAGATTGGCATACTGAGTTCCTTGGAAGTAAGCTTGCGCGGTACCAGTGCAATAATGCATAGCGACGATGAGTGGTGTCGGAGTCGCAAGTCTGGCTGGCTTGTAAACGAACATTTGGACACCCGTTGGGTTCGATCCGAAGTTCGTTACCTGCTGTAGTTGACCTGCGGCAGCGTATGCTCCACCAATCGCGAGCAACACGAGCGAGAAGATTTTGACCGGTTGAAACATCTTGAATCGAATAAACGAGTGTTCGATGGTTTGTCTCCATGGCCAATCTCCACCTTTTATATGTCACCGAGGACGTTGTTCATTCAGTTCAACGGTACGTATGATGTTCAATCAAACGGACCTGAACAGCCCGTCGTAGTGATCAACTGACGCGTCGTCTGATGAACTACGTTGCGAATATGAAGTTGTACATGAATTTTTAT